GGACGAGCAGGATGTGTGCCAAGGAACCTGGCCGGGCTGGGGGCTCTCCTGGAGGTCTTCCCTGAGGAGGTGTCTTGAGCTGTGCACGCAGGCCTGGATATGGGGCATAGGAGAAGGCACACCGTGGGAAGGAATGCGCGGGCCAAGGGCGCGTTGGCTGGCTGCGTCACTCAGGCCTCGTGGTAGCCCTGTGGGGCCGGGAGGGCCACCACACGTTCATTCAGCCAGTCGTTAGGACCTGCACTACAGCCAGGCCCTGTTCTCGCGCTCGGCGATCTTGGCCCTCATGAAGCAGACGCCGAAGCAGGAAGACAGATAACGAAGATGCGTACGTGCGTAGCTGGTGTGGAGAGCTGCTGAGAAGCCGTCAGGCAGGGACAAGCAGCCGAAGCCTGCAGAAGGGCACCTGACACTCTCACAGCAAGGGGGTGGGGGGTGGGGGGCTGTAGGCCTCATCGGCCTCGCTCGGGCTTTGACCCGGAAGGGAAATCACTAGAGGGTTTTGAGCAAGGTTGGGGCGGGATCTGACTTGAGTTTAAGGGGTTGCCTCTGGCACCCGTGTCCACACTCGCTGAAGGAGAAAAGGACAGAGGAGGCGACCAGCACGAGGTGCGGTGAGGTGATGGTAAACTGGGGTCGAGGATAAGAAGCGGGTGCCCGGGCAGAACGGGTCAGCGTCTGGACCTACGAGGAGGTCAAGCTGGCCCTGGCTTTGTTGACCGGTTCGGTTTGGGTGTGAGAGGAGATGTTCTTCTGGATTTCTGCCCGAGGACCTGGACAGATGGAGCTGTGGGTGTTGGGACTGGTGGGTCCGGGGCTCCTTTTAGGACAGGTTAAGTTTGCAACGCCTTCTAGACGTACAAGATGTCGAGGAGGCAGTAGAATAGAAGTCTAGTGTTCACGCGGGTCTGGAGATAGAAATTTGAAGGCCCACGACTGGTGAGCTCACTATGGGATCTGAGTCAGGGGGGACAGGGTCCAAGGGCAGCTCTGGGGTTCTCCAACGGAAGAGAAACCAGGAATGTGGCGTTCTAAATTTTTTTTTTTTTACGTTTATTTATTTTTGAGAGACAGAGAGAGCACAAGTGGGGAGGGGCAGAGAGAGAAGGAAACAGAATCCGAAGCAGGCTCCAGGCTCTGAGCTGTCAGCACAGAGCCCCGACGCGGGGCTCGAACTCACAAACCGTGAGATCATGACCTGAGCCGAAGTTGGACGCTCAACCGACTGAGCCACCCAGGCACCCCAGGAATGTGGCGTGCTAGAGGCAAAAGACAAAAAGCGTTCGTGTTTGTAGGAGCAGGACACGATCCGCAGCATTAGATGCTCCTCTAGGCCGAGTAAGATGAGGAGAGCAGCTGAGGGCAGGAAGGCCCAGAGATGCGGCTTCACAAGAAGCTCGGGGTGGAGATCAGCCTCCTGGCTCCCCCGGTCCCAGGCTTCCCTTGCCCAGGGAAGGGGCCCGGGGGGGGGGGGCCGTTCCCCTCACTGCCCCGCTCCCGGCACCCCTGCTCTCTCTAGACCTGCGCTTGCCCGGGGCGGGGGAGAGTCGGGGCTCTCCTGTCTTCTGGGCCCCGGGAGGCCGCCACTGGAGCACTGCCTCTTTCTGGCAGGGAGCATCGAGTACAGCTGTCCGGCCTCCAACGAGTGCGAGATCACCAAGCGGAGACGCAAGGCTTGCCAGGCCTGTCGCTTCACCAAGTGCCTGCGGGTGGGCATGCTCAAGGAGGGTGAGCGCTGGGCAGGGGCCCGGGTGCCTGGGGCTGGGGTGGGCAAGGCCTGGGAAGTTCTGGTGGACTCAACTGGGCAGGGGGGCTCTGTAGAGCAAGTACCCCCCCCAGTCCCGTGGACACAGCGCTGTCCTGCAATTCAAGGAGTGCGTCTGGACCGTGTGCGGGGAGGGCGGCAGAAATACAAGCGGCGGCCAGAGGTGGACCCACTGCCCTTCCCGGGCTCCTTCCCTGCGGGACCCCTGGCGGGAGCTGGAGGCCCTCGGAAAACCGGTGAGAGCTGGAGGTCCTTGGAGCTCTAGGGTTGGGGTGGGGCCAGGACACGAGAGGCCCGTTAGGTGTCAGTCCCCCCAGAGCAGTAGTTATCTTGGGCACCAGGACCCCAATTTTCCCTTCGTCTGTTCCCATTTCCCTGAAGATGTGTGTTTGAAAATACCTTTTTCTCACCAGTCCCTGAGTCGCACAGCTGGGCACAGGGACAGGTTTTTCTCACACTCCGAACTTGGCCGTGGACTTGGCTTTCCCCTGGGAAGTAGTGAGAGCCCTTCCTGGAGACAGGTGTCCCAAGAGTGGCTGGCCAGCGGCTCCTCAGAAGGCCATCGGGGAAGGAATTCTGGGAAGATGCTGGGCCCCGAAGGGGCCTGCAAGGTGATGCATTCGAGTGCCTCTTCCAACTGTCACTGCAGCCCCAGTAAATGCACTGGTGTCCCATCTGCTGGTGGTTGAGCCTGAGAAGCTGTATGCCATGCCTGACCCAGCGGGCCCTGACGGACACCTCCCGGCCGTGGCTACCCTCTGTGACCTCTTTGACCGAGAGATCGTGGTCACCATCAGCTGGGCCAAGAGCATCCCAGGTAAAGGGGCCAGGTGATGTGGGGCTTCCCTGCGTAGGCCAGGCCACGCCTGGCTCTGATGAACTTGCTCAGCCAGGTCTGCTTCCCACCACCCTCCAGGCTTCTCGTCACTGTCCCTGTCTGACCAGATGTCAGTGCTGCAGAGCGTATGGATGGAGGTCTTGGTGTTGGGCGTGGCCCAGCGCTCGCTGCCACTGCAGGATGAGCTGGCCTTCGCCGAGGACCTGGTCCTGGATGAAGAGGGAGCGCGAGCAGCGGGCTTGGGGGAGCTAGGGGCTGCCCTGCTGCAGCTGGTGAGGCGACTACAGGCCCTGAGGCTGGAACGTGAGGAGTATGTCCTGCTGAAAGCCCTGGCCCTTGCCAATTCAGGTGAGTCCGGGGTAGGCAGGGACAGGTGTCTCCCTAAGGCCTTCCAGCTCGCAGCTCGGATGGTGGCCCGGTCTCATCTTGCCGACCAGGAAAACTGGGGCTTAGGGGAGAAGGGTGATTTGTTCAAAGTCACGAAGAAGGCGAGGGCAGGCCCGGGAACCGCACGTAGGGTTTTGAGCTCTAGTGTCATCCTCACACGGAAAGGTGAACGATTTAGTGGAGGGGAAGGCGAGGAGGACAAGAGGTGGCCATAGTTGGGGCGGGGGTGGGGGTGGGGGGAAGCGTGGGCCCTGGCTCACGGGCAGGGGCAGGGAGTTGGTGCCCCAGCCAGCCACTCGAACCTGTGCCTGGCTTCTCAGACCCCATCCAACGGTGCCCAAGCAGGTGTTGGCTGTGCCCTTTCTGGAGCTGGCCCACGTCAGCCTCGTTCTCCTCTCTCCTTGCAGACTCTGTGCACATCGAGGATGCCGAGGCCGTGGAGCAGCTGCGAGAAGCTCTACACGAGGCCCTGCTGGAGTACGAAGCAGGCCGGGCGGGCCCCGGAGGGGGTGCCGAGCGGCGGCGGGCAGGCAGGCTGCTGCTCACATTACCACTCCTTCGCCAGACAGCGGGCAAAGTGCTGGCCCATTTCTATGGGGTGAAGCTGGAGGGCAAGGTGCCCATGCACAAGCTCTTCTTGGAGATGCTCGAGGCCATGATGGACTGAGGCAAGGGGTGGGCATGGGTGGGGGTGCTGGCAGGACCCGCCCAGTATGGGGTCAGCCCCAAGGGGGCAGAGCTGGGGTCTGGGCAGAGCCACAGCCTGCTGGCAGGGCCAGGGCAATACCATCAGCCCCTGGGAGCAGGCCCTGCGCCCTCCCCTCCCCCCTCCCAGGGGGTCTTCGAAGCTGGGAACGTGTGTGTCCAGGCTCTGGGCACAGTGCTGTCCCTTGCAAGCCATAACGTGCCCCCAGAGTGTTAAGGGGGCCTTGCGGAAGCCATAGGGGGCTGCAGGGGACGTATGTGGGGGGGAGCAGAAGCCTGATCTCAGGGAGGGAAGGGAGTGGAGGCCACAGTCTCCCAGTGGGTGATGCTTTTGCTGCTGCTTAATCCAACCCTCTCTCCAGAGCAGAGGGGTTTTTGGAGAGCAAAGGCCCCTGCCCCCTTCGCTCCTCTCCTCATCATTTGCATTGGGCATTACTGCCCCCCCTTGAAGCAATAACTCCAAGCAGGCTCCAGCCCCTGGACCCCTGGGGTGGCCAGGGTCTCCCCCCCCCCCATCAGCTCCCACCCAGCCTCCTCAAGGGGTAGGGGGAGCACTGCCTCTATGCCCTGCAGAGCAATAACACTATATTTATTTTTGGGTTTGGCCAGGGAGGTGCAGGGACATAGGGCAAGCCAGGGCCCAGAGCCCTTGGCTGTACAGAGACTCTATTTTAATGTATATTTGCTGCAAAGAGAAACCGCTTTTGGTTTTGAACCTTTAATGAGAAAAAAAAAATATATCGAGCTCAAGAACACTGTTTTGCGTATCACTGGCTCAAGGGTTGGGGATACACATGACCTTGAACACAGTTACAGAATGAAAAACTAGCGACTCGCACCATTAAGTCTCAGTTTCCTCATCGCTCAGCAGCATGTTGGGGATCCCACGACTGATGGGAAACAGACGTCCAGACTCTGGGCACTGCAGGGTGCCCTCCAACACATCCACCTGCGGGAAAGCGGGACACGGAGCTGAGCACTTGAAGCATCGGCCTGATTGGCCGGGGAAACGGGCGATGGGCAGGTTCTCACCTCCAGCAGCACGTGGTGCATCTTCCTCAGAAACTTCTCGTCATGCTCATACCCTTCAATCGGCTCTTTGGGTACCTCGACCAGGTGCAACTGTGGGCAAAGGCCTAAATCACCTCTGGGCCTGCCGACCCCTGCCAGGCTACCTGGCCTGCGGTGAGACCGACCCCGTCCACCCCCCCACTCAGGGCGAGCACGGGCGTGGGGAAGGGTCCTCACGGTATCCGCCGCCTCCAGAAGCGCCGCCCACTCCACCTTGGGTATCATACGCGCCACGAAATCGGGGTTGAACTCCACGGGGTTGATGCGGACCTCGGTGGCCTGCGGGGCGGAGGGGTTTTGTGAGGCAGGGGCCGGATCCTGGTCCCCCAGGACACGGGCGCGAGACTGCCCCCGGCCGATACCTGGAGGCGCAGAGGGAAGCCACGGGGCCCCACCCCCCGCACATGCGAGCTCAGCAGGTTGTGGGTGAGCAGCTTCATGTCGCCAAAACGGAATCTCCCCAGGCCGGAACCGGAAAAAGCTAGAAACTCCGTGGCATCACTTCCGGGGCCGCTCCAGTCTCTGTCCTATTGGACGGCTTGGAGGAGCGGAAGTGACGGAACGACGGAGCTTCTCGTGCTAGCCGGAGAGGTATTTGAAAAAGCTTGGTCAAATCACGCGCTGCTACCGGAAGCGTCTCGGCAGGTGATGGCTACGGCGCAGGCCCAGTGGTTTCCATTCGCTACAAATCATGCATAGTGTAAATCACATGTAAAGCCGCCGCAATGCAGGGGTCTTCGTTGAATGCAAAATAAGCCATGTTTTTCTCCCACGCGGGCGCCTGACACCATCGTCTCCCGCCCCTCAATTCCGGTTAAGGAAAAGAAACACTGCAGGAATCCGTAAACGAGGCACATCAAAACAGCGACACCCCCACCCTTGTATGCAAATAAGTTGCGCGGCCGCCGGAAACTCCGCCCCTTGGCTGCTGCCCCCGTGGTCCAGCCCCAAATGTGAATAAACCGAGCGTAGCGACCCGGGAGCGCCGCCCCTGCAACGGGCCCCTACGCCTGCGCGGTGGAGGAGGCTCGCCGGGGGCG